ACTTACTTACTTACTTACTTCTCTCTCTCTCTCTCTCTCTCTCTCTCTCTCTCTCTCTCTCTCTCTCTCTCTCTCGCTCTCTCCCCCCCCCCCTCCTCTCTCTTCTCTACATCTTTTATGCACCGAGAGTTTGCACACAGCGTCTGTCGCAATAAGGGAGGTTTTTTTTCTATTTTTCAATTTTTTTTTCTTCTTTTTGCAGGAATCAAGGGACAAAAGGCGCTCGATATTTTTGCAATGTATAAAACGAACGTGCGTAATAAACAGCTACGAACGAATATTAAAAATCTTGATAGTCTTGCTTAGCAAGGAATCATATTCCTTCTTATATTATATTATCATGTCAATTCTTGATATTATTAATATACTAGTAATCGTTATATAAATTCAGTGAGTGAAAAAATACATCGCGGTAGAACGACAACAACAACGATAAGGCAAGGGTTAAATTCTTAATCGTTTCCCCGCAGAAGAATCGACCACGAAGTTTTCGAGAACGCGGAGAGCAAAAGGACATCGGCGAGGAGGGTGGTTCTTGGACAAAAGATCATTCTCTCCTTGTTCCTTTCGATCGTTTCGCTTCCACACACACACACATGCACGCATACTCTCTTTCTCTCTCTCTCTCCCCCTTTATCTTTCAGCTTTCTCCTTTCTCTTCCCCATCCTCCACCTCGTTTTTAATTCCGTTCTACGTTACGCCCTTATGCCCGTTTCTCTGCCTTTTCTCCCCTCCCTTTTGTCCATCTTTTCTCTTTTCCTCCCCTCCTTTTTTCCTCCATTCTCAATCCAGTTCCTCCTCTTACCAGATCAAGTTGGAAAAAGGAAAATACACTGTGTGCCCCTCCTGCGAACCTTCTCTCTCTCTCTCTCTCTCTCTCTGTATACACACGCGCCTCCCACCCTCTCCCTCCCCCTTATTTATTTAATATTCGCACGAGATTCGAAATGTGAATTCTTTTTCAATCGGTCTTTTTCTTTTCTTTTTTTCCACAGGAGAAAGGATCAGGAGAAGGCTCATCGCAAGGGAAAATTCAGCGAGAGGAGGGGGAGGAGGAGGAGGCTCTTCGATTCTCGAGGAACCCTATATTATTATTATTATCCCCCCCCTCCCCCTCGTATTTCCCTAAATACTGGGATGGAGAAGAACCAGTCTTTTTTTCTCCCTTTCCTTCCCTTCTTTTTTCCTTTCTTATTCTATTCTAACCAACAACGCATCTCTCTCGTTTCTTGCGCCTGCTTGCGAATCACAATGCATATATATCGATCGTTTTTTTTTTTTTTTAAACAATCAATCTGATACTTCGATCCGCCACCTACAAGCTTACCTTGCGAAGCTCTTGAACGCCGCGGACTGCGGATTTATGCAGAGCGGCACGCGCGACGTGTTCAGCTGTTCCGCTATAAATTTGTGCATTTCCTCTGAAACAGACAACGTCGTATCGTTGGGTGAATATCGGCGCACTGTCTGGGTCCCCCTCCCCTCCTCCCTCGGCGTTGGTGGAGGAGGAGCGCAGGAAGGCTCGTCGCAGGGGACGACGAGCCTTCCTTTCCTGCGAGCCTCTCGAGGGAGAACTCGAGTCGAGGGGGAAGAGGGTTGTGATCGAGGGTTTACGCTTCGTCGTTGTCATTCGCAGATTAGCCTCGTCTCTCGGGCTGTATTTTCGGGTTATCAGGGGAGTGTAGAATTTAGTTTTAGTTAGGAGGAAAGGTGAGGTGTGTATACTTTCGATCGTATTCGTCGATTCGGTGGAATTCGGTTTGAATTTTTTTGGGGTGGGGGGTGAGATTGGAAGTGCGTGAAATTCGAAATTGGAAGTAAGTTTTCTCGTGTGAAAGGACACAAAGGTGAAATCGGTAGACTATTACATAAACTCGATTTCTATCATTATTTTTACGAATGAAAAGTAATAAGCAATAAAAGATGGCGGGACACTTTCTGCAACGTCTCTCCACTTCCATTATATAAACTATTGCACAATTCCCCGCCATTCATGGACAGGCATTCAATTTTCTTTTTTAATTTTACATTTTTCAAATTGTTACGCTCTTTATCCGACCATCACGAAAATGGAACCACTTCTTTCGCCTCGGACGCGGTAATAAAAATTTACGAACTTCCGAGAAAGCTTTCTTGGCATCTCAAACCCATCTCGGCCTCGCTTCTTTGTTCTCCTCGCCGCAACGATTCTCGCCTCACCACACCTTCCTTGGACACGTGCAATCGTCCGCTCGGGACGAACTCCCGACAAACCTCTCCTATGACACCCTGATCCCAAATCGAACTCGACACCGTGCCAATCGATCGTGATAACCCGTCATCAGCCTCTTTCTCAACGTTTCTCGTCAAATTATACGAATAACTCTTTTCAATCGAGCGAGATGGAATATTTTTACATTCGATATCTATCTCGAGATGAAAACGACAATGATTTTTCTTAAAGATTTTAAGACGAAATTGCGTGATTGGAGCAAGATTTCGATAACGAACGACCGTATAGCGTGAAACGCGGTTCTATCGACGAGAGAAAATGATAAACGATGATTTATCGCGTACTGTTGACACACGCAACACCGTTCTGTACGACGGTTCCACGTGTCCAAGACGTTTTCTATTAATAATCCGCGCGTGAGTCACACGCATGATACATTTTTCTCCCGTGGCGGTGTCGCGTCGGGCAAACTCTGTTGGCAAACTCACCCCTTCCCCGATTACTCTGCAACCGGGAGAGCAAAGTAGCGAGTCCATTTTTAAAATCGTTCAGGTCGTAGTATTCGTTGGTATTTTTCGCCACCATCTTTTATCGAAACGAGAGCAAGGTGATGCAATTCGATGTTAGAGATCGAGAAGTTTGATTGATCATTGAGAATGGAAAAGATGTATGACGATTGTTTCTCTGTAACCAATAATTGAAAAAGGACGATTACGAATAAAATGTTAACGCTTCTCCATGTTCTTTGAGAGAAGAGTTATTCAAATAATTTCGTGAATTATATTTCCATTTTCAATATTCAATATTTTTGAAATACGAACATTTTTCCGCTCTGTTGACGAGAAGAGAAAAAAAATATGTATCTTATCTCTCGGATACAGAATTCCTCCCTCGTCCCTCGCTTTATTTAATATTCGTCGAAAGTGGCTCGTTATTGGACCATTGAATATTTTTCGCTCGAGTCACGCGGCGTTGGCGTTAAGATCGCCTCTGAAAATCGTGGAAAATTCACGATTTATTAGCGTCGCTCGATCGATCGATTATTGAATCCGCGGCAGAAAATTTCACGATGCCGAGATAGTTGGTTTAGATTTAGAGAAGACGGTAAAATAAATTTGTTTTCCCCTTCTTCCTTCTGTTTTCAAGTTGAGATCGAGATTTTTCTCTGTTGGTGATTCGTTTCTGATTTTTTTTTTTACTTGTTCAAGAGGGAACACGTTTGGGAGCGTGTTTTTGGTAAACACGTTTGTGGCTGGACGTTTGTGGAATTTCGTTCGTTTCACGTTGTAAACATCGTGGGACGAAGAAGAAGAAGAAGAAGAAGAAGAAGAAAAAGTTCGAATCTGAACAGAACAGAATTTTTGACAAAGCGTTTTACGATCACGATTTTCATTTATCTTCTTCGTCGAAACGAGAAGGAAATTCCGAAGGATTTACCGATTCTTCCGACGAGGTATGCAATCTCTCGAGTGCACACCTCTCTTTCTCTCTATTCGTTCCACTCGATGGAATAAAAGTCTGAAAATCTAGGTCGCTTTCCGAATTTTTCAAAAATTAAAAAATTATCAACTATACGCTAATAATAACAAATTTTTCGATCATTCAACAAATTCATCTTCTTCGTCACCAACAAAATTACAAAAAGAAAAGAGAAAAAGATTCAGAAAGATTACGTGTTACTACAAAAGGATCTTCCAAATGAAACTTCGTCGTCGAAAGAAAAGAAAAAAAAAAAATAATAATAATAAGTTGAAAGAACAGCTCGTTCGAAGAGGTCCTCTTACCTTTCACCTGCTGCACAGTGGTGAGCTTCCGTTCCCAAAGATCGTCGAACGGATGCGACGTGGCCGGCTCGAAGTCGCCCGTGTACTGTCTCAAGCCGCCGCTGGTCGTGTAACAGCACGTGCACATGCACGAGTGATATCTCAGTCTCCCTTCGTCCAGGTAGGGATGCGCCAGTGCATCCACCACCGTGATCCTCTTGTCCTGCGGGAAGTTCGTTGAACACGGTCAAAACATGGATCGATAAAGAAAAACTGTGCTCGAAGAAAACGACCGATCTTCTTCTCGACTTTGCTTATCTGTTACGAGGCTGGTTAATTACTATTAGGAAGGAAGTGGGGGAAAAATTGAACTTGGGTATATTTTAGGGGAAAAATTTGGGCGAATTATAATCGTTAATAATAAGTTCGTCTGGAAAATTTCTCAAATTGTTCCAAAGATTACACGTATCCTTGTTTCTTCTTGATTTTTTTGATAAATTTTGTTTTTGCAAACAAGAGGGGAAAGTTTAAGTCTTATTTATTAAGTAGAACATCTCTTTTCTAATAAACTTTTGCTTCCATCCTTTTGCAAACGCTTAAATATATTCTCTCCCCCTCGAGTTCGGGCGCAACAAACTCGAAGATAAATTCAAAGTTTCCACATTTTTCGTGTCGCCTTCGAGTTTTAATCCCCCCTCCCCCCTCCCCTCTTTCCCCTCGAAGCTTCCTCCGACTTTCTCCCGGTCTTTTCCATTCCAGAAACTTCAGATTCTAATTAAACCTCCGCGAATCCTCTCTTGTTTCCCGCTGTAATGCAGGAAGCCACGAAAAAACGTATCGAAACACCCCATTGCAAAGAATCCGCGAAAAGTTTCCAACCTGTTGTATACATATATATATATATATATATACAATTTTGCAATGACGAAACGATTTTACGCCTCGTGTTTTAACTGTTAAAAACAAAGATTCATCGATCATTATTATATTTCAAACGATTCGTATCGTTTCACGATCGATCCGAATGTTTTCTCGCCCTAACCACGAAACGTATTCGATGGAAAAGTAGGCTGCTGCGTTGGCGTGCAAAGAAGTTGTTCGAACGAAGCCAATAACGGGCGCTCAGACTCTCTTACGTCTTAATTTTAATGGAATTATTGAAATTCTCTGTACATGCCTTTGTTATTTTTACCTCGCGGTACAAGTATCGACGTTCGCGACGCGTATGAGCTCTCTTTCTCTCTCTCTCTCTCTCTCTCTCTCTCTCTCTCTCT